GTGGCAAGTCGAGCCAGATCTTAAGTATAATTTTTTATGCAACTGATTTTCATTTAAATTGAGAGCCAAGACAAGTCACGAGGCTGCGCCTTTTCTTTGCCCAGGAGAAAAAGTTCGCCATAGTTCGCACACACACACAGCCGCACATGCACACACAAGTCACACGCAAAGAGGGTACCAAGCAGAAAAAAAAAACAACTATTTTTTCTTTCAGCGGTCGCAGCTCATGAAAAATCTTATGAATAGCATTATTCCGTATTTTGCTGGCTCTTGTGTTTCTCTTCCGCCTCCGCCTCTGCCTCCGCCTCAGCCTCTTCCGCCTGCGCCTCCTCTTTCTCTTCCGCTGCATCTTGCATCTCTGCTTGAACATCTTTCGAGTCTATTTGTTATGTGTTTGTGCATCTGTGGAGTAGTTTGCCGTAGTATATAGCAGAAGGACACCTATAGAAAAATTCGTCAACCGAAATACTTGAGAGGGAAAGTCATATAGGCGAATCACTGAGCGAACTTTTTGCCACACTTCGAATGCACTACGGCGCGCAATTTTAATTAAGATATTAAATGCGAGTGGAAGCAGTTGCTGCTTTTTTCCCACTGTGCGCACTAATGAACCTTCTTCTTCTACCCCGTGTTCTTTTTTCTGTCTTTCGTTTGTTTTATGTTTTTTTGGTTTTTGCATCTGCTATAGTTATTGTCAGTAGTCTGTGAGCCTGTCATCATCATTAGGCTGAGCGCAGAAAAAGTGCTGGCTCTATACACAATGGATGCTGCGGCTGCTGCTTGTGCTCCTCCTGCTCCTGCTCCTGCTCCTGCTCCTGCTTCTGCTCTTCTATTCATTCATCGAGTTTGCCTTGTCATTTCGCTGGCTCTTTTACCTTTTGTTGATTTATGCGAGCCACGAGCTGGCAATTAAGCTGCGGCTCAAACCTGAAGGGTTCTCCAAGCCTCTCTCTCTCTCCCTCTCTCTGTCCCCCTTTGTCGCCCTTCGGCTAATGCCGCTGCAGGAGCAATTGAAATTTTAATCAGCTTGAACACAAATTAGCGCCGTTTTTATGTTTATGAATTGTGGCCGTAAGCCTTTTGGCGCAGTTTGCCGAACACCTTACGGTTCTCTGCCCTTTGGCTCCCCTTTCATTATTTCTTGCATTCACTTTTTTCATCTCTTTCTGTAATGTCCTTAATCAAAAGGATATTAAGTGTCACGCAGCTTAAGTGTGACAAAATGCGCAGCTTAATTAACTTGTCAAGGGGTTAAACGACCTGACTGGACACTAAGTAGTTTACAGTGTTGGTCAACGCCGTAAACAAAAGCATCGTGAATACTCAAAGCTGTCAGGATTAACACGAAAAAATTGGCAATGGTTGTGGACATTTCACTAATTGGATAATTTTTGGAGTGCTGCAAATATTTATGATAATTAGCTAACAGAATGGGATATATGAATATGCTATAATATATTGCTATAACAGATTATACTGGATAGTAAAAGATATAGCAGGATTCTTATATAGTCATAGAATGTTTTTCATAGAATTCAGAATAACAATAATGAAACAAACTGAAAAATACTTATTCCTTACAAATCTGTATCCCTTTAAAATACATATTTATTACTTGAAAAACTTATCTAATTACAATTTTGAAGCCGGTTTCAACGTTTTTTCCGTTTCGTAACATATTTATAATATCTTATATATATTTATAAATTGTGTAAATGTTAATGCTAGTTCATTATACAAATCTTATACAGTTCCGCCCATGCTGCTAATACCACATCAATTGGTTGGCGCACCCGAAGGTTTCAATGTGACCATCGAATGTTTTACGGAGGCGCATCCCACATCCCTGAATTACTGGACACGCGGCGAGGGACCAATCATACACGACTCGTTTAAGTACAAGTAAGTAGTGCTCCGCTCATTTCTCACTTCATTCTCTTCACTCCTTAGCTAGTCTAACAACGTCTTCTTTCTGCATTGCCTAGAGTCGAATCGAGCGTCGGCGTGCCCGCGTACAAGACCCACATGAAGCTGACAATTATCAATGTGGGCAGCGGGGACGATGGCATCTACAAGTGCGTGGCCAAGAATCCCAGAGGCGAGACGGATGGCATTATACGATTATATGGTGAGTAAATAGCTCAGAGCTGCCCAAAAAAAAAGAAAAATATAAAAAAAAACTTTACGACATATTTAAGCACTCAGCAATTGGCAGGCGGCACTCAGAGCTCGGCACTCGCTCACTGCAATTTCGCAGCTTGTTCAGCAAAAGTTGCCGTCAAATGCATTTTTAATTGTTTGCCAAACAAAAGTTGCGAAAAACTGAGCTGAGCTGAAAAGCACAAGCCTCTTCAGAAGCAGCTGCAAATATGTTGCGCATACGCAGCGTTGCACAAATTTATGCTGCGAATGCAAAGTCAGCAGCTTGTGCTAGTTTCGCGAAGTAATTTCAGTTATTTATTTTGGGGAAAAATACTTTATTATTATTATTAGTAAAATGCGTTTCCATGTGAGTAAATAGTAAAAAAAAAAATGTGAAACTTCTGTAATACATTGGAAACTGAATTGAAAGAAAATAGTGAATATTAAATACGTATAATATAGATCAATATATACATATATTCAGCAAAATCTCTATGAAATAGAGTAATTTATAAAATCAAATTCATTATTAAAGTATAATGTATAATGATTAACAAAACTACATATTCATTCTACGACCGAGAAGCCCATTAAAGCTATCCTGATCCGCTCGCTAAGAGTGTGGCAATTCGGATAGAACTGGATCTTTTACAGATTTAGTGCCCTATTTAGAAGGCCCGACCTTGTGAAGATAACCAAAATATATATAAATATAAAAATGTGGGTGTGGAAAATCGGCGCAGTTTATATAGTGAGCTATAAAAATCTTTAACATTTATCTATCTATCATTATTTCGTTAGCATAGTATCTAGTATTATTAATATTAATTTTACTGTTAAAATCCTGTCATCATTACCATATTCATTATAATTCAATGATGACTAATAACACTCATTATTAATATAATTATTATTCTTGTAAACATAATTCGAGCTTAAATATTTCATTGGCTTTAGGAATTCACCTCAAGCTGAAATTAGCTGTCCCATAATTTATTTTTAACTGGAATCGAACATATAATTTAGTTAATTGTAGCGCTAGGAAATGCGATTTCTATCGCGCACAGTCTTTGGCAACTTAAAGCTGCCCTCAGCAAATCCATCACGTAATTAAACTTAAAACGTGATATTAACTCACAACTTGAGCTGCAGAAATTGAAGCGTTTCAGCTGCAACAGAAAATAAATTCAACCTTGGTAGTTGAAATAAAATTAAAGTTTTCCTCGAGGCAGGCAGCGCAGCACATGTGGAGTCAAAAACTGACTCGGCTGCCATGCTCCTGCCCACCGACCCAAGGCTTGTGTGCGAGGATAACCAACCGGTCTGCCCCAACGATTCCATACCTCAGGCACAGAGCACGTGACTTGATTTCCAGTGGCTTGATTATGGCTCAGCCCTGCAGCCTTTAGTTTTTGGCCAAGCATCGACCAGGGCATTGTAAGGTGTTAAGCATTCGTCTTTTACTTCAGATCGCACGCTTCGCCCTCTGCATCTTGCCACGCTGAAAAGTTCACGTTTCCTGGCCAGGCAATTAAGTCGCTTCGTTTTTGGGCTATTGCGGTTGAGATTTCCTTTTTGTTCTGGCTTTCGCCTCGATGGCTAAATAGCTGGAAATTTGTCAATTCGTGTTAAGGCCAATGCGGCACTTTCTTAATGTGCCATGGAGCTGGTCTTTTTTTTTTTTTTTCTATTTCCATATTCATGTCTCTCTTTCGCATTCATCGCCTCCACCTCCTTCTCGTCCTCCTCTTGCTAGACATGAATCTCTTAATTAGTCGAATTGGACTTAAAGCTTCAGAGCTCATTAGATGTGTGCAACATTTTGTTGTAGCTGGGAATTAATGGTCTTAAATCTGATATTTTCGTTATTGAACTGTTAACAGTAATTGTTATATTTAGAGTTATATCTATAGATAAAAGTCGAGTCTACATAACTTTAGATTAAACTTTTCAAATTGTATCAATAAAAAAAATTTAATAAAAAAAAATATTTACATACATATATGTGAAAGAGATAGCGAACGAGGGAGTATAGAATTATTTACATGCATTTCTACTATGATTTATTCTATTCAATTTCGCATGTCGGAAAATCAATGTTTTAATTAGTTTCTAATGAGATTGCTCAGTCGGCTGAATGTATATTCAATATTTAATAAATTAAGTACCATCACATGGCCAAAAAGCGTTTGACAATCAAAATGATTTTGCATATTTAAAATGGTTGAAACAAACGTGCTGAATAAATTTCACGGTACGGGGCATAATTAAAACGTGCTTTAATTGAAAACATATATATATGCATGTATATAGAGTATGCACACACAGATGTCTATGGTTATCGAGAATGTGTAACGGGGGAAATACTGAACATTTAAATTATATAAACCTCGAACTGAGGGACTGGAAACTGGGAACTGGGAAATTGTGCATATTGTCACATAATGAAAATACAAAATAATTAGCATTTTGTTCCACCAAGTCGGGCGAATAAAATATATGTATGTATTTATCTACATATATGTGCATATATTTGGAGTGTGCTGTGAAATAACAGACAGCACGAATTTCAAATAAATAGCGCCAAAAAAAAATCAAATGCAATGAGACGTGCGAAAAATTGCAAAAATTGAACAATTTGCATGCAAATTCCATTAAAAAAATAAAACAACAGCCAAAATATATACATTTGACTGATGTATAAATAAAAAGAAAAAATAAAAATATGTAAATGAATTATAAACAACAAATGCTAAATAAAAAACAGAAATAAACTCGAGAACAAGTTCAGTTATTGTTTTACGTAATCAATCTAGTGTGAGTGGGAGCGAGAGCGCGAGAGTGTGAGAGCAAAGCACGGCCTATTTTTAGAGTTAGGCATTTTGTTGACAATAATCAACTGAAATACAATGGCAGATGTGAGCACAAAGAGAAGCAAGTGTAGCAGAAAAACAATTCGATTTATATAAAGAGCGAAAGAGAGGGCTATAGGTGTGAGAGTTGAGAGTGTGTAGCAAGTATGGGTGTGAGTGGGATGGCATTATTTATAAGCAATTAGACGTTGTAAGTGTAAGCCAATCAAAATGCAGACAATTCACACAAGTTAGACTGGTTTGGCTGTAGGTGCTCTTCTAAGAGATAGACGGAGAGACGCGATAGGCTTTGCCTATATGTATAATACATGTATGATAATGGCGTAGATATTAAAAAAGTATATTTTTTATGTTTATGCTGTATTAGGGCTAGAATATATAACATATATGTTTATAATATTATATATATATGTAAATATTAATACATATTATACAAAATTAATTAATATGGGTTGCTATCGATATTACGTAAATAATGAAAATATTGAAAGTATATTAATAAGAACTCTATGTTTCATAGCTATTCATATTTCATATTTAAGATCATATTATTAGAGTGTTAGAATATGAGAGATCAGACTGCGATCTTTAGGTAGAATACTTTCATTCCTTACAAAATTATAATATATAATCTTACACTACTAACATATCGATTGAACGACTTGTCATTTGTCTCTCTATTCTCACCTCTCTCTACCACAGTCTCGTATCCGCCAACGACCGCCTCTTCGGGTCTCTACACAAGTGAATCTCATTGGGGCGAGGCTGGCAACAATAATTTCGGCTTTGGCAACTCCGATGCGACGCGTTCCAATTACGGACACGATAAGAGTGAGTAGAACTTGAGCCTATCATCAGCATATTAGCCTGGCACACGCCCCTTGTTCGTTTTACCCCAACACATTTGATTTCTTGTCGGTATATCTCTCTATCTCGTTTAGTACTCCCCATTTTAAAATCTCTTTCTTTGTCTTTCTCTTTCTCTCTGTCTCTGTCTCGCTCACTTGTGTGCTGTCTCCCCACATCATTAACATAAATCAGATACGCGCTATCAGTCGAATTTGAATGAAATCGGTTTATCTGAACAAAAATCCTTCCTAGATAAAACACAGAACGCGGCAAACGGAAATGGTAATGCGCCCGGCGTCGGCGTCGACAGCGGCGCCGACAGCGACGCCAACAGCGCAGTGGCCATAGCGTGGCTGGCTTTGCTGTCAACGTTGTTAACCATGGTGCGCGGACAGGTTTGTGCAAGACTTAGCTTAAGTGTGTGTTAGAGCTACATATCCGAATTATATATGAGGCTAAGGCAACTAGCATATAAACGATATATAAAA